TCATTCCCCCCACCCTGCTGCACCTGGTTGACTAACATCCTGCTTGAAAGTTGCAGAGATGTGCTGTCTCAAAATAACCGCAAAGTGTTCCAGGCCCCGGGCCAAGAAGATTTTGTAACTTCCACCCTGCCCCTCCCTGCGTAATGAGGTTCTAAAATGCGCTTTTCCACCCTGCCCCTCCCTGAGTAATAAGGTTCTACAATGCGCTTTTTTACCCCACCCCTCCCTGAGTAAAAAGGATTCTACACTGTGCTCCTCCCTCGCCCCACCCCTATCTAAGGTTGGCCTTAAAAGCCTGCTCTGGTTCAATAAAATTTGACTCTTGACAAGTGCACATTTGCTTGAGTCCTTCCTTTCTCCCGCTCATCTTTTACAGGCTTTGACCCCCTTCGCCCCCACGACTAACTAGGTCCTGCGGGTCGGGACATTTAAGGATTAGAGTGTCTGATGTCACATGGGATCTCCCAGAAATGATAGGGAAGACACACTCATGAAATGTCAACAGTACAATCGCATAAACAATATCTGAACAGTGACATCTTGAATGTCACTTGTATGTAACTTGAATGGGGGATTCTGACAAGACTCTTTCCCCAGTTTAAGGGCTGTAGGAAAGTAATAACCACTAATAGAGGGAGAATCAGTCTTGCCCATGTATGAGTCGCTTGTCTATCCATCACCTAGTGGTCAGCCCTGAAAATATATACAAATAGGCCACACTACATGGACTCAGCATGTTGTATTTATATATTTATATTCATATGTGTGTAACAATAATAATTAAAAAGAGGCCATGAATTTGAGAGGAAGTAGAGGCATGGTAGGGAATTAGGGAGAAAAAGGGAATGATATAACTTTATGAGTTTTCAAGGTATATGGTCTCTTGGATCATGGTTGCATTAGGGATTTATTAAATAATTTTGAATGAACCAGTTATCATTTGGGGGGATGGTTTGGTCACTGTGACACAGCATCACGGGGTTGTTGACTGGAGTGATATCACCTAAGGTGGGCAAAGTACTTAGGACACTATATATTTGCAATCATTGTCTGATCCAAACTTGGTGGGTAGAGGGGACATATGTATGCAGGCACCTGTGTGGCCCACCACACTCTGGGTTTCCAGTTGAGAAAACAATTCAGTTTTTCAACCTCAAAGCTACAGTAGTGGTTGAATGACTTTTGTGAAGTCCATCTTCTATCTTAGTGCTTCAGAGTACACCCAAGATCTCTTGGATCCTGGGTTGGAGTGGAGGCCTTGGGAGATTAGTAATAAGACTAGAGCAATGAGATAGAAATGGGGTGCCAGAAACTTCTAGATGTGGGGAAAGCTTGAGAGAGGCAAAAGGTATTAAAAAGATATTATGCTTGGCATATGCAGGAATTTGTGTTTCTTGGGTGAATTCTGCTCACTTACTCTTTCACATGGATGAAGAAACCTAGGAATATCAGAGACCTCACCTTTCTCATTCATTATGTCACATCTTTGTTTTTTCAGATGAGAGCAAATTGAAGGAATGCTCAGCGATGTTAAATCCTGCTGAAGATACTGAAGTTCAAGGCTGATTAACTTCATAGTATCTATTACAACTTGTAATTCAACAGCTATGGTTTTTATTAAAAATTAATTCTCAGGGGGAGGTGATCAACAAGCAGGCCAATCAGATTATGTCAGAGGCAGTCCCTCTTCCCATTACTATGTAACCCACTTGGACACTGAACTGCCATGGGCTACATCTGTGCAGGGGTTCTAGGTTATCTCCACGAATAGTCCTTGGTTGGAGTATGAGTCTCTGGGAAGTTCCCTGTGTTCAAATTATCTTTGCAGCCACTTTTGATGAGAACTGATAGACTAAGATCAGAAAGGAGAGGAGAACCTCCCCTATCAGTGAACTTGGGGAGTGGCATGCATGCAGAAAGGGGAGGGAGGGAGAGATCGGAAGGGGAGGAGGGAGGGGCTTATGGGGGGATACAAAATGAATAAAGTGTAATTAATAAAAAATTAAAAAAAAACTGTTTTGAGTAACAGAAAAAAAATTAATTCTCTCTTTCTCCCTCTGTGTGGCAAGTATACATGTATATATAATGATTTCTGGTTAAATTTACTGAGTCTCTCTTGTTTCTCTCCCAATATTTTCAGTTTCATTTCTTCCCTGCAAATCTCTTTTCCATATTCATGACTTGTGTTGTGTCCTGAAGACCTGAACTCACACCATTTGTGTGACTGTGGGTTTGTAACTGTCTTATAGTCTGTGGGCTCACAAGTGGGTTCACAACTGAATACAATGCCTCCTTCTCTCCCAGAACCTATTATTGGTCAGTGTTCAGCAGTAAGTGGTATGGCCTGTCTCTCATGACCATTGCCATGGGTAGCAGATGTTAAATTTTGGTGGTTTGGCATAGCAGAGGAAAGTTTTTGTAGACAGGGTCTTACATCTGCCATGCTAGTCACAAGTTCCCCATATAGCTTTGGACTTTCTCTTTGAACTTCTAATCCCCCTGCCTTTACTCTATAAGCACTGAGATTATAGAAGTGTGCTATCAATGATGTAGTGCTCTGGATGGTGCCATACTTTTGTGACTGCCACGCTGGCTGGCCCTGCACCTCCTCACTAATTCTCAATATACTTCTCGATATTATTTTTTCTCACAAACAAACACCATGGGGTAGAGAGACAGTTCATAGGGTAAGCATGCTTGTTATTCTTCTGGAGGACTGGTGTTTTGTTCCCAGAACCTATGTGGGAGTTGCAGGATCTTGGGTAGTTCAAAAGCACCTGTAACTCCAGCTCCAGGGACCCAGTGCCCTCTTTGTGTCTTCACAGGCATCTGCATACATATTCTCATAAACACACAAAAACTTTAATCAATACACCAGATTACTGACTTGCATATTTCACATGCTGCATGATTGGCTCATTTACACTGTAATTTTCAATGTTTTTAAATATGTTTCTGTATGGTTCTACAGAAGCTACACACTTGCTCACTTTTAGAACATTTTCATCACTCAAAAAACAAAAATCAAACAAACAGAAAACCAAACCTCCCCTAACATTTACTAGCAACTGATCAGAGGGATTTATTGGCTTCATATTACCTTTCATATCAGTGTTCTGTTGTGACCCATAGCTGTCAGGAGCCACTTGCAGCCTTGAGTGTCATTTCCAACATTCATAAATCATGATCCCCTACTGAACTGTGCCCAGTGACTCTTGACTCTTGCATTGGGAGATAGGAGAGCCAGCTACTTGTCCTAGCACCACTTGACTAGCCTGTCTGAATGACCACTCTGTTGCATGGTGGTGACCAATGTCCAGAACATTCTCACAGTCTAGGAAGTGGGATGTGCAAGAAGCCCCTCACTGTGGTCTGGAGGGAAGGAGATGACTTTGTTGTTAGGGGTCCAGGTAAGGACAGACACAGACCAGACTGCCATCTTTTTCTGAGTTGAGTTTTGATAAATGATGAAGTATCTGTCAGGGGCAGACAAAGACATTCTGTAAAGATCTGTGGATGATACAACTTTGGCTGTATTTCATGTATTCTTGGATCAAGTCTGCCTTAGTGAGAGGACATTTCACAACAATGAATTTGCTTGAAATTTTGATAGGAAGGAAGAACCTTTGGTCTCACTGATATGGCATCATTGATTATGTCACAAAGAATGTCAACTCAAGGGAGGTCAAAATAAGGTCTGGACAAACTTTATGAACTGTCAAGGTGGACAGGATACCCGAAGTCCAGATGATACAGAGCTGAGCCATCTATTGGCTGGAGCCCTGCTCCCACCCATCTGCCCAGCATATAAATCCTGTGAGCTCTGCTCACTGCAGCACAATTGGGCAGAAGAGAATCCCTGCAAAGGGTAGCACATACAGAAGGAGGGAGAATACTGAGGAGGAAACTGCTAACAGAGAAGCAAAGATGGATCTACTTTCAACTCTCTCCCTGGAAACCTGGGTCCTCCTGGCAATCAGCCTGGTGCTCCTCTACTGGTGAGTAGTCTCCAAAGTTCCTCCCCGACCATGTCCTTGTGATTGGGGTAATACTCAGACCTATATTGTCTGGAAGATCAAAACTGGTTTCAGAAGGAGGGACTGGCGAGGCAATGACTCATTGATTAAGAGCACTGGCTGCTATTCTAGAGGACTCAGGGTTGAATCTAAATATTCATGTGTGGCTCACAGTCATCTGTGACAACTGTTCAGAGGATCTGGCACCCTCCACTGGCAGGAGAACAAAAGTTTAAAAGGTGAAAGCAGAAGTTAAAATGAATTATTGTAAAAACATTTAAATTTTTCATGTTTTTATTCATTGTGGTTTGGGGCAGCACATACTACAGTGTGCTCATAAGTGGTTTTTATTTGTGTGTAAGTGTGTGTTTAGATAGAAGACAACTTTGGGGAGTTGGTTCTCTCCTATTGGAGGGTTCTGGAGATCCAACTCACATTGTCAACACTGGCAGCCAGTGTCTCTACCACTAGAGTCATCCTGAGGAGCCCAAATGAAATGGCAGCTGAGCTAATTTTGCATTTTAATTTTTTGGTGGTATGGGGTATCAAGCCAGAGCCTAGGCAAGCCCTTAACTACAGAGCTATAGCCCCAGTGATACTAACTCTTAAAGTTCATACTGATGTTATGCAGATATACTGGGTAATTCTGGCCTCCCCCTCAACTCCCTCTTGGTGAGGTTTGCTGATAAGGCTTACGTCTGGTATGGCCTGATTGGCTTTTTCATTAACCCTAGATCCACCAGAACTCAGTAGACATGGAAGAGAATGGTGTGATGCCATGCATAGAGGATCCATCACCATTCCCTAAGCTCTGGGAACTGTGCAGTGCAGCCATGTTATTGATCTGTTTTCTTGTTTGTTTTTTTTTTTTTGTGGGTATGTTTGTCTCTCTCTTCTGAGTGTGTGGTCACAAGGCTCTCTGTTTCACCTTATAGGTTTGGGACACGTACACATGGAGTTTTTAAGAAACAGGGAATTCCTGGACCCAAACCTCTGCCTTTTTTAGGAACTGTGCTGAATTACTACAAGGTGAGTATTGACTGAGCATTCCATGTGTCTTCTCCTGATGGCTAATAATGACTCATCTCTAGTAAGTGCTCCTTGGGAGGAAACTCTGAGACATCAGGCTCATACTGTGTGTTTTTGTGGTTCTAGGCATTTTTCATGTGTTCCATGGGGCTCTTTTGCCAATTTAAAACTTAATAATGAGTGTGTTGTGTGAGAGAGTGTGTGTTTTTATGTGTGATTTTTATAGTGTGTGTACAGGCATCTTAGTCCTAGGGATGGAACTCAGGTTATCAGTGTTGGTGTCAAGTGACTTCTCATTTGGAGCCATCTCACTGGTGTTATTGCCAGTTTATTGAGCCTCAAGTTCACATTAGGTGAAGTGTGTAGGCTTAGATTTTTCAACAAACCTATGTTATTTAGTGTTCTTCAATGCATCTACCTCCCTTCCACCCACTGACTGGGAGAAAAGAAGGTTATTAGGAAAGAGAGGTCACAGACCTTTTAGTAGTAGTTCCTTGGGGTGAGTCCACTGTTTGTTGTCTAGATAGCAGTAGTCCAGTCCAAAGGTTAACAATAAACAGCAACACCAACCAGCATGATTCAGAAGATGGGGAAAAGTCAGTGAAAGCATCAAGCCTCGGTTGGATTGCTCTGAGAAATTTTCTGGAATACTTCTCTTTGAAGTCATGTGTCAAAGCACAAAGATCAGCATAGCCATGTTGATCCCAAAAAATATTGTCTCACTAACCATGGGCTGCTATATAACTCCTCTCCTCAGAGCCTACCCACGGATGTTTTCAGCTGTCCAATGTCATGCCCCTCTAAACGGGATAGGCCTCAGGAGATGGAGAAAACAGGGAACAGGACAGGAGCCTACCACAGAGGGCCTCTGAAAGACTGTTTCCAGCATGGAATTAAAACAGATGCTGAGACTCATAGCTAAACTTTGGGCAGAGTGGAGGAAATTTTGTGAAAGAAGGGGGAGACAGAAAGACCTGGAGCTGACAGAAGCTCCACAAAGATAGCAAAAGAACCAAAAAATCTGGGTCTGAGGGTCTTATCTGAGATGGATACTCCAACCAAGGACCATGCATGGAGATAACCTAGAACCCCTGCACAGATGTAGACCATGGCAGTTCAGTCTCCAAGTGGGTTTCCTAATAATGGAAAGAGCGCTGTCTCTGATGTGAACTCAGTGGCTGACTCTCTGATCACGAACCCCTGATGGAGGAACAGCCTTACCAGGCCACAGAGGAAGGTAATGCAGCCAGTCCTGAAGAGACCTGATAGGTTAGGATAAGATGGAAGGGGAAGGGGACAGTCCCTATCTGTGGACGTGGAGAGGGTGTGGGAGAATAATAGGGGGGAGGGCAGGTTTGGGAGTGGGTGAGGAAGGGGACCACACCTGGGATACAAAGAGAATAAATTTTAATTAATAAAAAATTAAAAAAAGTCAAACCCATTCCACAAGCATGAGACAGCTTCTAGCAAAATATCACATGACACATGAGTCTTAAAACAAAAAAACAAAAAACAAACAAAAAAAAACTTTGAAACTTCTACATCAGAAGTGCCCAGCTCTCCAGCTCATTCAGTCTTGATAGTCAGGACATGATATTCTCACTGTGTGAGCGATCAGGGAAGAGTTTGTTTCTTACCCAGTGCAGATTCTATGAAGGCACTGTTGTACTTATTTGGAGCAAATCTTGAAGGGATTTCCAACGTCTCAAACATTGATCTGTATGCACTAGATAAAAATCCTCCTCGTTGTACCAGGCTTATAAACAACACTTCTTTTTTATGCTGAATATTTCTGAAGCACCCACTTATCACAGGGTCACATACATACTTTTGGGGGAGTTTTCAAATATTTGAGTTCTCTGTGTAATTATTGAACCCCTGGAGTTTTTTTCTATGGTTCTTCTCCTAACATTTACTATTCATGGTATATTTGGGTTTTTCTTGATAACCAGTATAACTAGAGAATATTTTGTTTCACTCTTTTTCTTTAGTAACTTGGCTTATGGGTAATGATTGCTACAATTAGTGAGAAGATTTTTTTGTGTGTAGTTGTGTTTATCTGTGTGTGGGTTTGTGAACATGAGTGTAGTGTAGTGTAGACAGAGAGAGAGCTGGAGTCCCTGGATCCTGAGTGAGAGAAAGGTGTGAAATGCTGGATATGTGTGCTGGGAACATAGACCCTCTGCAAGAGCAGCCAGTGGTCTTAAGTGCTGAGCCACATCTCCAGCCCCAATGACAAAATTTTATCTTTTGTTTTATTTTTGCAGGGCTGAGAATGAGACCCAGTACCTTACCCATACTAGTCAAAGTACTTTACAACTCAAATGGAGCTATAGCTGTTTTTCTTCCTTTGAAGGCAGCATCTTAGGCACAAGTCTTAGTTGCAAATATCTGAGACAGGATGGTGGATGCCAATTGCTTCAGATACTTAAATACAAAATGCAATTTTTATTTTTTTCTGTCTTTTTCCCACCAGGGAAAGTTTGATTTAATAACATTACCAAAAAAAGTAGGTAATGAAAGTGTAATGCACTGTGTAGGCTTTCAGCCTAGGTGGATCATTTGTGACAAAACTGGCCCATAGTCAGTGCCCCAGACAGATATTCCTAAGCTCTCATCCAGAGGGTGAGTGGCAAAGCTTGTGCTCTTCTTGATTCAGGTTTCTTCCTAAGGTTTTAGGCTTACCTTGCACATTCTTTAAACAATTTCATCATCACCATCATCATTATTTGTGTGTGCATGTGTGTGTTGTATGTATCTGGTGTCTGTGTTCATGTTTTTGTTCATGAGTGTGCATACAGAGGCCACAGGAAACTGTCAGGGGTCTTGCTGCATCACTCTGCCTTTTCCAACTGAGAAATATTGCTGGTGATACCTCAAACATCAAACATCTGAAAAAGAAATTTCCTCTGTCAGAGACTATAAACCTGATTTCAAGGGACCTGTGGATTTTTGTGCTCTGGCTGCAGAAGGGGAACTGCATACAGGATAGTAATGGATTTCATGTTATTTGTCTTTCCAGGGTTTATGGAAATTTGATGTTGAGTGCTATAAAAAGTATGGAAAAATATGGGGGTGAGTATTCTGGAGAGTTGCATTCAGTCAACTCTTTTTAGGAGAAGGCATCCCACTTGTGCAAGAACAATGCCAGCCCAGAACTGTGGTAATGTACCTCTCTATTGTGAAGGTGATTTCACGCATCACTAAGTGCTGCTGTTCACAGGTTTAACTAATTAA